TACCTACATAAAATTAGCAAGGGAAAAATGCCCCTCATTTAAGAAATATGTTAATTAACAAGACATAACAGCTAGAAGGAAAGAGCATGTAAAAATATAGTAGGGACTAACAAAATATTCATAATAGGAAAAACTGGCTGTGGATGTATGGGAACTCTATAATAATGATGCAAATCTGAAACTTTTAAAATAAATTTATAGAACTAAAGCAAGAAAATACGACTCAAAAGATAATAGTTTGGGCTTTGGGGGAAGATATTTAAATTGGAAAACCATTCTTTCAGCTTTATTTTAGTAAAATTTTAGTGTGGTATTTCTGTCTTGTATCTGGCAGAGTGAAGTTATGCTAAAGTAGCAATTTCCTGCAGAGACAGGAAACTGGAATATATTATAAGAATATATTATAAGCAATATTACAGTCTACCACATGCCTCTAGCTGCACCAAATGTGAGACTGGACCTCAAAGACACTTTCTTATCTCATATACATTTTCCTGTTGGTCTTGTTAGCAAGATCAAGACTTTTCATTCTTATGTGCTACAGAAAGCATTTTCAATAAGCTCAATTGTTTGGTTAGTCAACTGCAAACTTGACAGTAGAATAACAATCACCTGAGTATCATGCCTCCTTAAAATTAGCCTAAAGCCAATTAAATGCCCAGCCATGCAAAACCAAGGCACTGGAATTTGACTTCACCTTCCTTATCTAGTGTAGCACACATAGAAAATTCTATTACAAAAGATCTTCCAGTTGTTACTCAGACATAGGACTTGAACTCTACGAGAATTGCTATTTTCTAAGGATAAAGCTAATTATTCAGATTCTAAATTCTCTGGTAAGCCATTTGTTTCCATTTGTTTCTTATAGTGTGAGATTTCTGTTAAGAAACTACATCTTTGGTTGATTTGTTGGTGGATGATATTGTTTGTTATAAATGGAATTATTCAAAAGGCAATATAAACAGAATCATGCTGTATGTACTGTTTTGTGTCCTTTTAAAAAAATTTTTTTAGTCATAGATGGACCCAATACCTTCATTTTTTATGTGGTGCTGAGGATCCAACCCAGTGCCTTCCACTTGTGAGGTGAGCACTCTACCCCTGAGCTACAACTTCAGCCCTATTTTGTGTCTTTTGCTTAGCATTATGTTTATAAGGTTTATCTATTGTTACATGTAATTGAAGATTTTTATTTTCATTGCTGCATAATATTCCACTTTATCAATATCACAGTCTATCCATTCTATAGCTGATATTTAATATTTTTTGTTTTGGACAATTCCAAGCAAGGCTGGTATATACATTTTTTTACACATATTCTGTTGCATATATGGGTAAAATTCTCTAGTCTACACATTTATGAATGGGTTGCTAGCTCTTAGGCTGTGTGCATGTTCAACTTTATTATATGATGATAAATTTTATAATGTCTGGTAGTCCATGTTGTTACTTACCCTTGCCAATACCTCTTACTGTCAAACTTTTTTTAATTTCCTGATTCATAATAAAGTTAAATACTTTTAGATTACATATATTGGAGTTTTGGATATCTTTTTTTGTGAAGCCCCTGTTTGAGTGTTTTACCTATTTTTCTGTTGAGTCGTTATCTTTCTCTAATTGATTGGTAAATAGAAATTTATACATTCTGAAATGGATAGTTTATATATTATTTGTGCTAAAAATGTTTTACCTTATAACTGCTTTACTGTTATATTCTTTTTTTTTTGAGGGACAGAAACTTGTGATCTAAAATTCAATTTATTATCTCTAATTTTTACACCCTGTTTTAAATATTCTTCTCTAGAATGGTGACAAGTATATTCTCACATATCTGCCAAAATTTTTATTGTTCTACTTTTCATATTTGGGTCTTTTCTCAACATAGAAATGCATAGTTGGGAGTAAAGATCATWTTTCATTTTTTTCCACACATAGATTCCAAATTATCTCAGCACCATTTATTGAAAATAGTTTCTCGGGCTGGGGATGTGGCTCAAGAGGTAGCACGCTCGCCTGGCATGCATGCGGCCCGGGTTCGATCCTCAGCACCACATACCAACAAAGATGTTGTGTCCGCCGAAAACTAAAATAAATAAATATTTAAAAAGAAAATAGTATCTCCATCTCATTGATCCAAAATATGATATTTCTTATAAAACAACCCCGTTCCTGGAAGCCTATTTACCTATTCTTACAATATAATACCTAAGTTATATTTATAATGAATCTTGATATTGCTTTCAACAAAACTTGCCTTCTTTTCTTCCTCAACTATATATTAGAATTATAATCAATAGAATTAGTTTATCAGACATATATAACACACATGTACTGCTAACTTCCCTCACTATAGTATAAACATTTGCTGGGCCTATTAGGACATTGATTGGGAATATGTTGAATTGCTAAGTTGCTGAGGCTGGCTTTGAACTTGTGATCCTCCTGCCTCAGCCTACTGTGCCGCTGGGATTACAGGCATGTGCCACAGCGCCCGGGAACATTGTTGTTTTCTAAATTAAATCTCATAATTACAAAATCTGTGATTGTCATTATATTGTCCCTGCCAGCTATCTTGACAATTATTTCTTTGTGTGCTAGTTATTTTTATTGTGACTTTATTTTAATTTTCAATGAGAAACTAATTGTGGAAATTGTTTGGGGCCTATTATAGGAGTATGATCTACCTAAAGGGTTTTGTGTTTATAACAATAAAGTTCCAGGCATTACTAATTTCAACCACTTTAAAGAATATTCCCAGAGGCTTTTGGATCACATAGGTGATATGAATCTAAGGTATAAATATGTCCAATGATCTCCTCGTGGCTATAATATTTCCAAGACAGTGAGTAATTCCAGGACTTTTTCTCAAAATCAAAGCAAATTTTCTCACAGTCTTGGTGGTTGGATTGTTTTTTTTCCTTCTGGCTCTGAATTTATGTAGGGAATGTCTCCCATTGGGTTCCCCATCTGAAATGGGCTATAGGCTTTGCTTTCTGAACTTTGTGTTGAGAGGACAATGAAACAGATAAAAATTGGTCTGACTTTGCAGTGACCCTCTTGCAGCATTAACTTCAATGTCCTGCTTACCTTTATGGGTATACATACTCTCTATATTTTGCATTTCTATGTTCTCACTATCTTGCCAGTTACCTGATGCTTTATAGAATTTGATTTTATATTCATTATTTTTTTAAAAAATCAGGATATTTTCTACTGTATCATATTACCATAAATGGAACTTTAATATGGATTTTGAAAAGTGAATCGATATAAAATAGTTGTTAAGAATACATACTCTGGAGTCAGACTGTCTGGCTTTATTATCAAGATTTATTATCTGCTGTGCGATAATGAGTAGGTTACATCATCATGTTTCATTTTTCTCTTCTTTGAAATGAGGCAAATAATAGTATTTTCCTTGTAATATAGGTAAAGCCTTTAGTACTCTGTCACCAGACCATCTCTTGGTAAATGGTAGGTAACATCCTTATGATTTTCACTCTGTGAGATTTGGTAAGAGAGGAAATGACAAATGTCAAGAAATGAGAAGGAGATGGATGAGTTGTATGGGAATAGGGAAAGGGTGAGATAAGATTTTGAGGGAAAATGATATAAAAAGTGGTTATGTTAAGAAAGTCTTGTTTGTTATATGATATAATTTACCTCTGTTTTCTCAAATGATCTTGTGTAAAGACCTACATTGTTTTCAAACTTTTTTTTTTTTTTCAGAGAAGGAACTGTGCATGTTTTGGATGTGAAACTATACCAAGGTTGGTTTAGGTGGTTTGATCTTATTCTTATTACAGATTCACCTTGCAGGGGTCAGCAACTCCACCACAAATACTGTTGTGAAAAATAAGCATTTCTGTTGCATTGTCAATGTATTTGAAAAATACTAGGCACTAAAATCACCATGATAACTTGAATAAAATGAAATAAAACAAAATTTTTACTTAGAAAAGAATAGTTAGATGTTAGGCCCTTATCGTACCAATTACAGTAAGAAAGATTGTTTTTTTTTCTCCCTAACCCCTTCCCTTTTGATGCTGGGAATTGAACAAGGGCTTCACAAGGCTAGGCACATATTTCTACTATTGGGCTACACCCCTAGCTCCTACCTAACCTTAAAAAAATTTTTTTTTCTAATTAAAAATGTGAAACTGATCAGAACGGAACACTTAAAAAATATGGAGCAGAAATTCTTTGCCTCTGCACTGCTGACATTTTGGGCAGATACCTCTGTTGTGTAGGCTGGACTGGGGTATTGTAGGATGTTCAGCAGCAGATCTGACCAGGACCCACTAGATACTAGTAGCATTTTTCCTTATCCATAGCCAGGAAAACTAAAAATATCTTCAGATCTCACCAAGATCCTCGGGGATAAAATGAGAAAATGCTCCAGACCAACTACTGCATTAAAGGAATTACAAAAACTCCTCTAATTCTACCATCTAGAAATATAAACTTTTTGCTTAACATAAATAAAAATTATAAAACATGTTACATTGAACGTATTGTACTATAGCTACCTCTTTTCCCTCGCTAATACAACATCAACATTTTTGTTATGTAATGTCCTGACACTGAATGAATGCACCTGTAGTATTAGAGAATATAATTGTTTTAAATAAGGTTATAGTAAATTTATTTCTTTAGAATAAATTCCTAAACTAAAGTAAAATCATCTTAATCTGACGCTGTCCACTGGCACGGTGAAGAACTTCATAGACATCCAGCATGTGCCCTCACGCGCCAAGTGCCCTTTACTCAGGATCCATTTTTAAATCGAGATGAGTCTTCTCACCTCCCAGCGCTAGACCCTGCGGGTTCTAGTCTAGCTGCCTGTCAAAGGACTGCCCCAAAGGGCTTGGTGTCCTCCACTGTCTGAGGGCGCTGTGGAATTAACAGCGGCCCAGGAAGGGCCCAGAGGCTGCCCTCCGTCCGTGGACGCTCTACCCATCCCGCTGTGCCCTCTCGGTGGCCTCGGCGTTTGGGAAGTGTTTCTAGGAGACCGAGCTTGCCGACTGCGCCTGCGCGGTTGACGCTCTCCGGGGCGGCCTGACGGACATAGGCGCTGGCCGGTTGAGGGAGTTCCCCCTGGCTCAGAGTTGCTGTCGCCGTCCGGTGCCTTCGCTACATGGTACGCCAGTGAGGCCGGCGGCCGACAGACGTTCCTCAGAATGGAGCACATCCGTACGACCAAGGTAGTCTGGCGCGGGAAAGCCATTAGCCACTGGCCTAGGTCTCACTTAGCGGAGGCGGAAGGCGACGAAGGCTCTGTTGGCCCTAGCAGGGCTGGGGACCGGAGGGGCGGGGGGCCTGGTCTGCCACTGCAGGGTCAGTTTTGGCTAAGTGGGCGCTTCGCGGAGGCCTGTACTTTTGGACGCAGGGTCTTTTAGGAGCTCCGGGTGCTTTGGTGGGGGGCTAAGTTCTGGAAAATTGGTTGCCGCCCCCTTAGCTCTATATTTTCTTGGGCAAAATTGGGGCTGCTGTAACTTTGGGGTATTCAGCCATTCTCCCCCTTACGTACCGAAAAACTGGTGGGTTCCCAAATTACCATTACTATGCTTTGTAAGGTATAGCCCTTAACGTTTCATTGTCCCGTGTCACAGATTCATGATGCAAGTTTGGAAGAGTCCAAATCAGCTCTGCTTTCCGCCTTACTTTCTTGTCTGTCTCCAGTGTTTTTGTGTCTGTGCTTCAAATTGTAGGCATTGTTCTTAGTTAGGGTCAATAGTTTAAAGAGAAATTATACAGAAGGTTAAAGTGTTGTATAATATTTCAAAAGGTTGGATGGAACTTTCTTCAATTGAGATTATTGTTTATAAATCCTATACTTCGTTTTTATTTGCAAGATATTTGTGCATGAGTAAGTATTTTTATGATTTTGTTACAAGAGTAAAGCTGAAAGGAAATGGTATCAGAATATTATCAAATAATTTTTTCAACAACATTTAAAGCAAACTTCAACTTCTGGAGGGGGAAAAACAGACTGAGATCAGAACTGAGTAATGAATTAAGATCATGGGCAGTCTGTCATTTTTAAAATTATTTATTAGAAGGACTTTTTGTGAAAGCAGGCTCTATGTTTGCCAGAGCAGAAATCATCAGTCAGTTGCTGCTCATCTTAAAAAGTTACAGCTCATTTACGAACAAGTAAATCTGTGTTATCATTACTGGGATAAGGAGAATTTGAGATCTTTATCTTTAAAATGTTTCACAGCCCTTTTTAAGGTGCACATAGATTTTTTTAAAAAAAATTTTTAAAGAGAAAAAAGATATAGTAGCTAAAAAAATTCAACTTGTTGGCAGTTAAAGTTTGAAAGTAGAAGGGTGACAGAGTAAATAACCAAACTTACAGAAGATGTACCCTTGGAAAAGGGGATTAGAGTAGACATGGGATCAGGATCTTGTCCTGCCTGGTTAGAGGGTTCCAGATGCGAGCTAACGTGGGCTTTTGGCATGTGACTTCTTTCTACACTAATTTGAATCTCATCTTTGCATGTTTTAGATACTTACCACAGTGCATAGCACACAATAGAAAACCAGTCAAAGTGAACTGAGTCTAATCAACTAAAACAAACCCTACTTTTTTAAAGAGAGAGTGAGAGTGAGAGAGAGAGAATTTTTTTTAATATTTATTTTTTAGTTTTCAGCGGACACAACATCTTTCTTTGTATGTGGTGCTGAGGATCGAACGCGGGCCGCACACTTGCCAGGCGGGCGCGCTAGCACTTGAGCCACATCCCCAGCCCACAAACCCTACTTTTAAGTGAATGATAAGAGTAAACACTGTTGAAAAATCTTTAGGACCCTTTGTTATTTTTAATTTTTTTCTCCTTCACTTAATGATGAACATATATCTCTGTTTTTATTTGTATTGCTATAACCAGTTTTACTATCTCCTTGAAGATTGTTGCTAGTGACTTTCATTGAGCCTCATGTTTCATTTTTACCATTGATGGACTGTTCTCCAATTTATGTTCTGATTTAGTTTTATCTTTTCACAGGGGGTCCATGCTGGTAGTTTAGTAAAGCTCCTTTATGTTTTTTAAATATGGAGAGATTTCTGACTAATTTTCTATTAAAATTACTTCTCATGTGTTCCTTTACTACATTGTGCCATTTAAGAAATTTATATATATTTATGTATATATATGTATATATATAAATACATATATTTTTTAGTTGTTGATGGACCTTTATTTTATTTATTTATATGTGGTGCTGAGGATTGAACCCAGTGCCTCACACATGCTAGGCAAGCACTCTACCACTGAGCTATAACCCCAGCCCTACATTACATCATTTTTATAGCATTGGATTATTACCGCAGAATTAAGTGGGCGTGGTAGACTTCAATTAAACAAATATTTGTTAAACACCTATTTTGTGTCAGGCACTGCACAGATACTGGACATATAGTAGCAAGATAGATTGGACCTCCTAATACGTTCTGATAACTATTGTATAGACTGTCTTTTTTTAATCATTAGCCTATTGTGAAAATAACTTGTTCTTAAAAATTGATCTGAACATAGCCAACTTTTTGTTTCCATTATGCATAGCCTCCACATGGACATAGTTAATTTGCTGCAAAATAATTGTAAGTATTTCACAATGAAAAATTGATTGTATTAGGTTTATTAGCTTTTTTTTTTAAAAAAAAAACTTATATAGATTAGTCACTATAACTGTGGTACTATATAACTACTTAGTAATTTATTTTGTTTAGATAGCGTATAACCCTGTCCATTGGATTTCATTATCTCCATTTACAGAGGAGGAAGAAATAGTCTTAGAGAGTTTGCATAACCTGCCCAATTAGTTCATGAGGACTAGTTTTAAACTAGAGTTTGTTAACTCCAAAGACTATGTATGCTTTTTTTATTGTCTCTTTAGTTTGAAGCCAATTGTTAAATTTGTATTAATTTAAAAGTAAATACAGATTATAATTCTAAAAGTTTTCTTTCCCAAATCTGTTCTTATCATAAGTATTATTTATATATTATTATTTTTATTGTTTAGAATCAATTTTTTATGGACCACTAACTAGAGATTAGTATTTTAGCTGAGTACTAATTAAATGGCTTTCTCAGGAACAGATATATCATCCTGTTTTGGTCAAATTTAGTTTACTGATTTTATGAGGTCAATAAATATGTTAAGTCCCTGAATTTGAATTTCCAAAAGGGCATTTCCAAGTTATACTTAGGAACACTGTAGCTACTGCCTGTCACTGACTTTGAGCTCTAATTTTGCCGTAATCAGGTGATTCTGCTAATACATAATGAAAAATATGCAATGGCAGTATCCTTTGCCTGCTAGGCTCCAGTACTTTGGCTGACATCATATATTGATTTTGAATGATATTATACCGTCTGTGAATAAGAACTCAATGAAAGTAGGGCTTTGTAGGGCTTGTTATAGAATTCAGATTTGTCCCTCCAAATCTGATCTTACTGGGGCTCAAATTCCAAAAGTAATGCCCAACTTATTCTTTAGCTCGATCCTTCTTATTGTCATTAGAATGTGAGAGCATACGTGTATATGTGTAGAAATATATAAATATATGTTATCTGTTACAAAGAGTGAAGAAGATACAAAACTAAAATAAGGAAAAACTATCATTATTTAAATTATTGTTGTAATAAGAGCAAACTTTTGAGGAGTACCTGAACACTTTTCTCCAAGTGGTGTGCTATTTTGACTGTCACTAACATTATCTCATTTTTACAGGTGAGAAAACTGAAAGTTTATTGAGATTGAATAACATAAAATAAGTTGTCCTGGCTCACATAGCTATCTGGGAGCTAGCTAGCCAGGGAGATTACTGGAGCTTGGTTTTTAAATTCAGGTCTTTCTGATATCAGGCCTATTTTTAACCATTATACTCTCCTACCATACAGAATAATTATCTAGTCAAGATTTGAGTGGTGAGATAGGGCAGTGTGAGTAGGAATGGAGAGGAATGTGAGAAACTAAAGGTAAGATTTTTTTCTAGTAATTAGCTGATTATGAGGGACTGGAGCTCTGAAAACAGTCAAGCAGATTTGTGAGTTGTCTGTAATCATTAAAATTTTTCACTGTGGGTGAGTGTATACAAAAATATGTGGAGATTCTGTAGAGAAGAGTGGGAAAGTAAGGGCCTAGGAACCCTTAAAAAGGGGCAACTGCAAAAGAGTAGTACAGATAAAATTGGAAGAGGTGAAATTGCAGACGGGAGAGTTGCCATCTTTGCTCTTCTAATTTCCTTCTTCATGCCCATCTCTGCTCTTACTTCTTCATCTTTCTTGGAACAGTCACTGTTCTAGGTACTAGGAAAATGGTGATGAGAAAGTCAGACAAAAAGTCCTGCCCTAATAAAAACATATTTCCTTGTTGGAGAAGACACAGTTATTAACAAAATAAGTTAAGTAGATAAGATGCTGTATGGTGGTATAAAAATATGCTGTGGATAAAAATAAAGCCAGCAAGGTCTGTAGAGTACCAGGGTGGGGTTAGAGGGATGTCAGTTGTAAATCGGGTAGTTCAGATCTGAAACTGGTGAGGGAATGTGCCATTCTCACTTGAGGGAAAGGAGAGAGAGTCCTACAGCAGGGGCAGAAATTCTTTGTAAGGCATGCTTGAAGCTAAGGACCACCAAGAAGGCTTGAACAGAGTAAGTGAGGAAAAGCTGAGTAGAAGATTGAAGTTGAAGATCAGGGGTACATTACTGTAGAAGGCCAATGTAAAATCTTACTTTTTACTGTGAGCTAGAAAGCCATTGATGGAGGGTCAGCTGTTTTTTTTTTTTTTTTAAAGAGAGAGTGAGAGAGGAGAGAGAGAGAGAGAGAGAGAGAGAGAGAGGGAGAGAGAGAGAGAGAGAATTTTTAATATTTATTTTTTAGTTCTCGGCGGACACAACATCTTTGTTGGTATGTGGTGCTGAAGATCGAACCCGGGTCGCACGCATGCCAGGCGAGCCCGCTACCGCTTGAGCCACATTCCCAGCCAAGGGTCAGCTGTTTTTAACACTGCAGAAGGGCAACGTAAGCTAGAAAGTTCCCACTGGATTTGTGATTTGAGCTTATTCTTTCCTCTCTTAAGTCCATAACTGTTTTATTGATAATTTATTCAGTCAGACATTATTCTAAGAACTGGGGATACATGATTGAAAAAAAAGATAATCTCTGCCTTCCACTTAACATCTACTTCATAAATG